TATTCATCATGCTTCTTTCTAGGCTCATACCAGCCTGAGCGCCCAATTCTGTAGAATCGGTACTTACTGTCTAGGAATATGATGTTTGTAAACTTACTTCCGATGTGGCTGTCTAGGGACTTGAAATGACTAATTCGACTTATGAATAACTCGAATATTTAATGAAACATAAATAGTTGCTACAGACTACAAAATGATTACATGTGTAGAGAGATGAATTTACATAGATGATATATACAGATGAAGAGAATCGACTGTCTTTTACATGTAAACATCTTTCAGTCGCGTCATCGTCTTAATGGCGGAATCGTCTGACTTCATCCTCGAAAAAAAGTAAAAGATTTATTCTCACAGCTTGTCACGTCATCTGATTATAATGAACGATGCCATCCCACAATATCATACAATAATACTTCTTCCAGAAAAGCAACTCTTAATTTTGAATTTATACATATCTTTATGGGAACAGATCTTGTGTTTCTCTATATAGGAAAATTGTTTAAATTCATCTTTTTCCAGCACATACCCTTTTGATTAAAAGGGTAAATGTTGAAATAAGTTAATATAAATGACATTTTTTAGCTTTACATTTTTTTAAGTGTTAAAAATAGTAGGAAAAATTACACTTAAACACAGAAATACAAAAGGTAATAAAAATTTATATACATTATGTGAATCTTAGTATTAATGTAGTGTATGTTTTTCACACACATAAAAATTAAGCAATGTTTTCCTAAACTGTTAATAATAAATGCTAGAAATATGAATATAATAATCAAACAGAACTATTTTTATCAGTTAATAGTGGATAATATTATTGAAATTTGAATTTTTAATACAGTCAGAATTCAGATTTTCAAATAAATTAGCCTGATGTTTTGTTAAACTAAGCTGTTAATAAGTTTTAAACTGTTCGAGTTTCATTTTTCTAATACTGTTAATGAATCTTTTTTTGTGCTAACAGTTTATGAAGAAGGTTATTGAAATATTTTCCACAAATCAACCAAATCCTGATCTTCTATTTGTTTTTCTCTCTGTTTTGATTGACTGTTTACTGCACTATAATGACCTGTAGCTAGCCATGTACACTGCACACACAAAAAAAGACAGTATCTCCCGTTCTGAGTCAGTTGCTGAAATTCAACTTGCATTTTTCATGTCTCGAAAGCGCAACTTAGGATATGTATTCGACTTATATATAGCATTATTCTAATATAGGTATTTTGACAAAAAATCGGACTTTTTCTGAAATGATGTCAAATTTTTTCCATATTTCAATTGTGCGACTGAAATTATGCCAAAGTGTGAAGTTTTGTAAAAAAGCGCAAGAGTAGTATTTTAAAAATCAGCTCTCAAAACTTTACCTCCTCCATGTTAACCCTTTAGCAGCTGGGTTGTGTTGATTCAACAGTCAAAATAAATGCATATATAAATATAACTACCAAAGTTATTTTATACCAGCAGATGATTTTGTGTAGTATGTTTGTATTATGAAGATTATTTATGTAACAATAATTTTGTTTATAATAATTAATCTCGTACTTTAAGCAAAATTTTCGACAGGGTATTTTTGCTGAAAATATTTTAAGGAAAGAATCGCTGTCTTTATGAGTGATCTATTTTTAGTCAAATCACCATTTATCAGAACATTACATCAATCAGATGTTTATATTTGTGTTGGGAAGGAAGTGAAAACAGGTGTTGTGCCGACACAACGTCAGCAGGAAAACGGGATTCTTTCAATTGAAATAATTTGTATTTGTAAAAGAAATATAATGGTATATTTTAATATTAAATTAATTACAAGTAAAGTGATTTGTAGATTTATAAAACATTATACAGCTAAAAAGTAATCCAGTGCTCCACTTAAAGGAAACATCGCACAGGTACAATCCTACTCACTAAACATCTGTAGTCTTATTCCACAATTAAGTTCATTGTGGAAAATCCTCCCTTGCACTTGGCATTAGAAACTGGTTTACAGTTTGCTGATTACAAAAATTTCTGTAATGCAGAATTTATTTCCTTTCTGTTAGTGTCTTTAAAAACCGTAAATTCCATTGAAGTTTCTCGTTCATTTATGTGGAATCTTTTGCACAAATTTCTATTTCTTGTCTTCCATATATTACATCAGGTGGCGAAAAAGGCCAAAATTTTGGGTTGAGTCCTTTAATTTCTTTTATGATTTCTTCATATTCATCGCCAATGTTTTGAGCATGAACAGATAGTAGTCTACTTTTCATCGAATCAGCAAGGACTTCTGTATAATTGACTAAGCTGAATTTTGGAGTAGATTTCCTGCTTTTGCTTAGGCTTGCATCTTTGAACTTCCTGAGTGGGTACGAAACAAAAAAGTGTTGCAGGATAATTGTGGTGAGAGAGAATGTTCTCTTTGACCTTGACTACACTGCTGATATAATTATAGCCATCAATCGGAATGTGTTCAGGGGTGCAGAGAGACCAGAATCTGACTCCTAAGAATGAAAGTAAAGTTGCTTGTGACACTCCCTCTCCCAGTCAGTATTTCCAGTATGAAAGAACTCCATTTTTTTTTAAATAAAAAGAAGTAATGGAGCTCATCTTATTTAGGGCTCTGGTGCATTGCGGCTAGAATTCTAATTTATCTTGAAATCTAAGCAGTACTGGAGCCGAGCTCTGGCACCTGGCAGTGGCCTTTTTTTTTTTTTTTTTTTGAAGGAAAAGAAATCCTCGTCTACCACAAAGTATCACACGAGACTAACAAATCATGGCAGTTTCGTGGAAGATATTTTACTTACATTTGGATTAATTATTTTTGTAATTACCTTCAGGTAATCCCACCTACTCTTTCAACATATCTAAATCTAAATTCCAGTTTTTGTTTCTGCCGTTGGGGGCTCTGTAATTGCAATGCCTCTTTGCAGGTGGTTACTGTTTCACATATCTAGAATATTGTATTGAAATCATTGTAAACATGTGTGCCACATAAAGACAAAAGTTATTTAATATTATGCCATAAAACTCAAAAGTCATAATACCCAGTTGTTAATACAATTTGCGAAGTGCATTGCACCAAACTCTTTCAATTATTTTGCTGTTGATGGAACTTGCAAGCACATTACTTAATCGGTGGTTTTGTTATAAGCAACTAGTGAGGATGACGAATAAGTGGCTAATTGTGAGTATTAAATCTGCTGTCCTTTGCTTCATGTACTATTAAACACTTTATAAATTCAATGCCTGTACTTAATCTAATGTCATTTTCTGCTTTAAAATTATAAATGTAATACTCACATAATAAAATTCAGTCATAAATTTGTAGTAAAGTGACAAATTCATACATAATGTTTAAAATATTCTTGAACGTTTTTAAATTTTTTTTTTTTTTTTTTAGGGAATTTGTTTCCTTCAAGATAATAGAATGTGAATAAATCTGATGGTGCTTTTAAATCAAGTTATATGAAAACAGTGTCATAATTATTGCAAATTCTGTTATTTTTTAAATTTTAACCTTGGCAAAATTTTTTCTTTACTTTATAGTTTGCTTTTTCATTTTACAGTTTTATGTGATAGGATTTAATTCCTGAGATATATACAAGACATAATTTTATGGCACGTACATTATGTGTGAATTATGTGGTCTTCTTTTAAACTTGATATATACATTTAAAGCTTTTGACAGCATTTTGATAGTATAGGTACTGAAGTGTAATTTTATTTTGCTGTATTGCAGGGGGGGGGCATAGTGGGGCTTTCGCAGGCGAATATTGCATCTGTTGTGCAAGTCAAATATATGTATGCAATATAGTAAACTAAAGTTACTGAATGTCCAAAAGAGTAATTAATTAATTAAATTTCTTTTTTCAGAGTTGTTAGAAAATTTTTAGCTGATGAATGTGTAAATGCTATTGTTTTATTTCTTGTTAGTTAAGAAACTTAGTAATGCTATTCAAAAATACAGAAATATGCTGATTCAATCAAACAATTTTGTAAAGAAAATCTTTAAAAGGTAGATTTGCTCCTGCAAGCTTTGTGAAATGGATACATGAATGCTTGTGGATGATTTACAGGATCAGTGTGCTGAATTTTTGAATCATTATTAACAATAGAAACTAAATTAGAGTGGCCTGTAAGCAAAACAGAAAATGCTTGTAATATCATACAGAATTTGATCTAATTTAAAAATAGTTTGGAGTTGATTTCATGTCCAAATGGATAAAAAATTACAGCAATTGGAAGCTTTAAATCAATCATAGCTTACAAAACGGTGTTACGTTTAAAGAAGTTCAAAAATCTGTATTTGATTACAGCAGATATACATCTCACTTGCTGTGAAACAAGCATGTGGGAAAGTAATGGCATAATTTTGACGTAGCAGAAAAATGACTTGAGTCACTCTGGCACAGATTTAAGAAGAATTCAAAGTTTCAGGAGCATTACAAAGATGTAATAGATTAACATGTACAAGAAAGTATTGGAAGAATCAGAGTATTTAAAAAATGAATAATACTTTTTACCACATTAAGTTGTAGTTAGAGAAAACGAAGACACTACAAAACTTAGTTTTGTCTTGGACGTATCGTCAGATGCTTAAAGAAAAACTGTCACTGAAAGATTGTTCAGAATCATGTTTTTCTTTCCATTTAAAACCTACTTTTAAAATGATGTAAATATGGATTTGTTGCTTTTGGGAAAATCTAGTTGTGACCCTTGAACTTTTGAATTCCAGCACGTGAATCTTATGGACATAAAGTTTGGCCGCTCTTGGTATTTTGTAAATATTTTCCTGTGTTCTATGAGATAGAAACTGGAAGTTAAATATAAATATCTGCTTTGTTTAAGAATTTCTGTCTGCTCATGTAGGAAGAAAACAATTCTCTTGATTTTAAATCTTTCTTGATAATTTTAATATGTTTTTTCATTTTGTTAGTTTTGTGTTTTTAATAGGGGATATTATGTTCTCATTCTTTATTGTAAATTTTTTCTTGAACTTCTACATTTAAAGTTCCTCTTTATTGCAGAAAAACCTGCCTTAAGAGAAAAGTTAGAATCACTGAAGGAAGCCTTGAAAACATTACCGCCTGCTCATTATCAAACACTTAAATTTTTGATGGCTCATCTGAATAGGTATGTATTCATTGCTATCTTAAGAAAAGTATAAAACTTTTCATCCTTTATATCTGGTAATTGAGAACATAGATTCTGGAGAAAATAAGAACTTCATCTACATTTAAATTACAAATGTAAGTAGCTCCAATAGTGTTGTTCCATAGGTAGATTAGGATTAATTTATCTATAAGCTGTGCTTTAAATATTTTTATAGATTCTTCTTTAGCACCTTGTCCGAAACAAAAAGCAAAGTCTATTTTTTATCCTTGAGTGTCTAACCTTTTCTGTTACTTAAGAAAAATTATTTCTTGAGTTCAGAGCACAAGCCTTAATACATATCGAGTATGTGATGCATTTTATATATTAACATGTGTGCATGAATTATTTTATAGTAACTAAGGGTAGATCTGTAAAGTAGAGGTAATTAGTCCCAGATTCTATTCCAGGTTGCAGTGAAACATACTAAAAGCATAAAGGTTTTGGGATTTTCCCCATGAATAATTTAAATAAAGTCTACCATCCCTAAAACAACATCTTTGAAGACATTTCCCCCTAGGGGTAGTTATTGTAGTGTTCTTTGTAAACCAATCTGGTCACAGTAATAAACAATTTATTTGGAGTATTTAAATACTTTTCCATTTAATTATGAGGGGTTTGCTTTACATCTTGTAATGATATCCATAACAAAAACAAAAAGTAATAAGCAAGGAGCAAATGTGGTTTGTCTGACCAGCATAGCAGACTAGTTCAGTAGCATTTAAAATAAAAATCTGATGCTAGATTACAAAGTTTGCATTAAGTTTTTATCTTTATCTTTCACTCTTTTTTTAGCATTATTAAATTAATTTTATTTTTATGGATTTTGTGTTTTAGTCTAATTGAATTATGCAGTTAAAAATATTTCATTGATTTCAAATCATTTATATCAAGTGAAAGTTCAGCCATAGGCATCTCTGAAAGTTTTCCAAATTTCCAATAGCCCTGTGCATCTCTGTTAAGAGCCTTTGCTGTTTACAGATATTGTAACCTGAATTGTTAAGAGTTTGCATATGTAGTGTGTTATCAAGGAAAAACAAGTGATGATTTCTAATTAAAACAGAACAACATATATAAAATTCCTGTCATCAGTCTAGTATAGTATGTTGTTAAATATTGATGAGTTTAGCTGTAGATCAATAGTGTCTCTCTATCTTTACCAGTAATGTACACTGATGTGCCCTGAATTAGGGATAGACATAGCTGTGCAAATTGTGGAGCACTGCATCACATTTATACTCATGTGAGGCCATTGTGGTAACTGCATATATAGCTAGTACTGTGGCTGTTGTTAATCAGGCATTTCAATTGCTAGTGTGTGTAAATCTTATGATTGAGACACCTTCGATCAGGGAACACATTGTAGGTACTCAAAGCATGGGCCATTGTTTCCAAAATCATCAGAGGGCTAGGATTTTCAATGTCCACAGTGTCAAAAGTATACCGAGAATATATGGATGGTGAGGGGGAAAACTATCTATTAGGCAGATTGCGAAGGACAGTTAGCCTTGTATGAGCATTGCGTGAGAGGCAGTGATGCCAAACGTTAGCTCAAATTACCACCCAGTTAAATCAGGGCCCCAGTTGTATAGTCAGTAAACAGACCATGCAATGCTTGCCTCAATGTATTTGCTTCGGGAGCATTAGACCCACAAGAGTACCATTGCTCGGTGTATACCATTGAGCTGCACACAAGGAATGGACTTTAGAAGACAAAACGAGTCGCATGGAGTAATGAGTCTCGATTTCGACTACTTAACACCAATGAGAAGCTGAGAATATGGTATCAGGCTCAACAAGCCTTGGATCCAGCATGCCAGTTTGGAACTGTACAAGACCATGGTTGCTTAATCATTGCCTGAGGTGTTTTTTGTTGGCAGTGTTTGGGATCTTTGGTGCTTGTACTAACCTCCCTCGGAATAATTTGGTACATAGAGTTACTGGGCGATCATCTCCATCCATTACTGTTGTCTTGTCATTCACACTCAAATGGAGTATTCTAGCAAGGTAACTGCACCTCTTGCAGGTCCCAGTTGGACTGCCTGTTTGAATAAGCATTCCTGTGACTTCTCTGTTGTGAATTGGCTACCTAGAAGCGCTGACTTAAATCCTACTGAGCACCTTTTTAATGTTTTGGGGAAAGCTGTGAAACTACATCACACAACACTAACAACCCTTCCTGAATTACGGACACCTCTGTCCGGTGTTTGGCAAAAGTGCTTCCGCAAACATTTTGAATCTATGCCTCACCGTGTGGCAGCTATTATGAAGGTTAGAGGTGGCCCAACTCATTATTCACATCCCTAATTCAATGTCAATTCAGTGTATATAGTGGTGGGTGGTCATTTAATTTGTCTGCCTAGAAACTTATTTTTTCTTTACTTCTATGCTTTTTTCCTTTCTGATGGCTTTTGCAATTTTTGCAATTTTTATTTTTTTAAGTTAGTAGTGCATGAAATTATTGTGACCCACTGAAGAATTTTGTTTTTTCTAACTTTGTGCAACCATATAAAAAAAATGACCTGGAAAACTTGTAAGTAAATACAGATTTAAAAAAAAAAAACATTCACTTTCGATATGCTAATATTAGTTAAGAATTGCCGTCTTTTTTCATGTGTAATGGCATATAAACCAGTTTCCCTTAGTCCATGAAGGTATTTCTTCCCTTAGGCATACCACCCTAATGTGCTTTGCCATCATAAAATAAACTCTTGGTGCTGGGAAATATAAAAATGGTGTCTTAATGCTTGTAGAATTCAAAGCTTCTCAGACGCAAATCAGATGCTGTGAAATTTTAAAAGTTCAGATTAGTTCAAACAGTATTGAAAATAACCTGCTTTCTCTCTTATTTTTTCATTCATTACCTCCTCCATTGTAATCATTTTTTACAAGGCTGTAAATTCAGCTGTGGATGTACCATATAAATTCTGTTTTCTGGACAAAGTAAACTGCAAGCAGTGTTGTTAATCAAGGCTTGGATACCAAAGTGCTGGTACATTCATTTTATCTGGTTTACGTAGACAGAGTCAGAGAAAAATGGAACAGTTCTATATTTATCGTTTTAATCCATTTACAGACAAATTTCAGCTTATATTTTAAGTAACTCAAAAGAGCGACTTTGGGTATGTACTACTATTTTTATATATAGCATTGTTCTAACATGCATATTTTGGCACAAAATTGGACTTTTTCAGAATTGACATGCTTATATTTTTCTGTTGTGTGATTCTACCTCTGAAGTTATGCCAAAGGTCTGCGGTCTGCAATTGCAAATGATTTGTGGTTTCGTAGCTGAGGATGGTGGTTCGGTAAAACCATCGAAACTAGTCCTGTGAAAATTTTGAAAATATAACACTGATTTTTGTTGTTTGACTTCTGAATTAGTATTTTACTGACTGTTTATTATTATGGGCTTTGATTCTTGCTGTAACATTAATAACTCAGGCCAGTAATAGGCCCTTAACTGGCTGAGCTACTTGCATGAGCCTTTTGTGGTTTTTCTCTTCTGTAATATGAATATTATCCTCTTTTCCATAGAAAGACCTCCAAGAAAGCATTCTTTGCATTAAACAGTTAAACAGTTCCTAGTATGCTTTGTCATAATTAGTTAACAACAGTAACCTGTGTAAGAAAAATAAAATGGTATTGATTTATTTTTAAAATTTCTTCAACTGTTAGAAAAATTTACTTATACCTGACTAGCTTTATATGTTGGGCAGTATTGATCTATAGATTTCACAACATACTTATGCAGACTTCCTATGTGCTGCTATTATATCAATATCCTCTTTTTTTCCCCCTCCCTAAGAAATAGCGAATTTAACTTTCTATAGCTTGAATGTCACTACTATTGCAATTTGACTGATCCATAGAATAAGCACTGTGATTGACCATTAGTATCTGTTATTATAGTGTGCTTCTCAATTTTATCACACTATCAGAATTTAGCTATTTAATTTATAGTTTATTTGGATGTTTGTGAAATGGTTCTGTTTAATGCTAAATTTTGCCATGTGTGTTATAAGTTTAATTATTGTATTTTAGTGTTTAATCGAAATTTTTCCTCATTCCTTTCAGGGTTGCTGAGAGACAAAAGTACAACTTGATGACTCCTCAAAACTTAAGCACTGTATTTTGCCCAACTCTGCTTAGATGTCCTGAGGTTGGTGGTGTTCCTGATCAGTTAACAGCATGGCATGCAGAAAGTACTGTTATTGAGCTATTAATTACCCACCAGAAACAACTCTTTGATCACTGACATTCATGTATCTAAACTTTTCATAATATAATTTATTTCTCACTGTCAGCCTAAACTCTGATATGTTTTAATGCTTCCTGCCAGTATGCTTTGTGCTCTTTGCATTTTAGCAGGGAGTTTCAGAGTGATCGCCGGAAAAATGTTTTATTAAAAGTTTGTATTACTTTGTTAAAAAATTATTAAGTATTTGATATAGGTGTAATTGGTAGAGGTATGCATGATTAGGAATTATGAATGTGTCAAAGAAAGCATACTACTTACAACTGAAATTAAGTGTTACGCCTCTGTAATGTTAAATAGGTTTTTATACTGGCAATATAATGATGTACTTAAAATAATGACCCATGTTAGTAGGAATGTATGCATTTTCACAGTGTTTTTAATTAAATTCAAAGTGGGAAAAGAAAAAAGATAGAATTGTAACATAAACATGTAAAATATTAGTGACAACCAAAACGGTGATCATGATAAAATTGTGGTCTTTATATGGAAGTAGTTTTATCGTGTTGAACTTTTAAATAAAGTATTTAAAAATTTTGAAAGCGTAGCTTAAATGCATAAGATGTCTTGCAGTGTATCAGTAACTTTTAAAATAAACCTTCTTTATAAACTGAAATTGTTTTTAGGAAATTTCAGTAATCTGAAACATTAAAAAAGGATTCACGATTAGAATAATTAATTTATTACAAGAATTCTTTCTCAGTCTTATTAGACTGTGTTTTAAAATTTTCTTCTGAAGTCATTCATGAATTTAGTCTAAATCAGTTCGGGAGCCTCAAAAAGCGGGTATGCTGCAAAGTGTTGTATAAATTGTGTTGTTGCGATATATGTAAATTAACAGCTGTATACTCGAAAGATTATCATAAGAGTTTGTAAAGTTTTAAAAGCTATCTTGGAACATATTTGAATGATGTTTATTCTGCTGTTTTCTTTCTGATCTATATTTTATTTCTGTGTTATTTCATACATTATGTGTATAGAGAGAATAAAAATGAGGTATAAAATATTAACCTGATAAAATTTGCAAAATTAGTGATCATTAACAGTGTGCAAATGCCACCATCATAATGTGTAAATATTTTACATACTAGTATTTAATCTTTTAATATCTCACAAACTAAACCTTATTACAATACAAAGTCCGACATCTGGACTCGTCGGAACTTTGGCGATTCGGGATTTTTCCAGATATTAGATCATCAGCTTAAATCTATTAAGGTGTCATATAGAAATTATAAAATGAAAAATATGTAATCGTAATTAATGAAGTAATGAGGAGTTCAATCTAAAAAAATATCAAAATTTACAAAAAAAAAAAAATTGTGTACTTCATTAACTCTCGCATCGAGAGAGGACCAAATCTGTTTTCCTCAAACATCGAAAATGCTGGTGTGTAGGAATTTCTCTTGGAATGGTTTTCCTTCCCCCCATGACAAGTAGAATGCTAACAGTAACCTGCTTAAGTAAAGCAACAACTTCTTTCTTGGATGTCTTCACCACTGTGTGCATTTTCCCCTTGGGACAGGATTGCAACTTCAGGCATCAATATGTAAATATTGACAGTAAACAAAGAAAGCATTAGGTACATTAAAATAACAGAACTGCATTTAGTTGCTCCAGAAAAATGATTGACATGTCATTTAAAAACTCCTGAAAGCAATGGGTAGTGCACTAACATGATGGGGGGAAAGCACTAGATAGAAAATGATTCAGGCAATCGGGCGACATGCCGATGTCTGAGTGGTCAGGTGTTTCGGCAACTTTCGTGCGAAAGAGTTAAACCGTTTCTTTCAATGTAAGTTATTTAATTTACTTTTTTTTTTTTTTGTGCTAATACATTCTCTTTAATTCTATAGACAGACATAATTTCTTGTTCAGTTACAAAGTTCCATTGTTCAAGTTCTGTAATTGTCGTGTCAAGAATTCCAACTAACTTGTTAATCAAACTTTTTTCGTTTTTAATAACTATCACTTTCTTCACTGTTGGTATTTTCTGGATCTAGAACCATACTGCAGATTTCGCTATCCATTAGTTGATTGATGATTGGGGCATTGTCATCACAATGAAAAACTTAATTTATAATTAATCCACATTCTCTTATGCAGGATTGAGTTCTTTAATAACGAGGTATTTTGTTTAGTGCCGAAGTGAAATTAAGAATTGGGCTCCACATATGATATATTATGGGGGGGGGGTAAAAATCAAATGCACATGCGTAAGGCATACAAAAAAATTCATTAAAAAAAAAAAACAAGATTATTGCTGGCTTTGAGGTCCAGATCTCGGACTTTACTGTAATGAAAAATTAACCAGGTGGTAAATTTTTCATTCATGAAGTGTCTTTTCAGATGTGAAAGTCACCAAGATCTACTAAGTGTTTATCCTCAGCTTAATTTTTTTACTTTAGGTATGTCTCTGTGTAAATTATTGTTTTAATTTTTTATATGTTATTAAAATATGCTAGTGGTTTAATGAATTTTTTTGTTTTTTATTTTTTTATGTAGGTAACATTAGAGAACATTGACCAGTCCTTTTACTTTGTTGTTCAAATTATATTTATCGGGTTAATTTAATTTTTGAGGTAATATTTCCCTAATATCAATACATGAGATTTTATTTGGGAAGGGGGCAGATGTGTACACAAATCTTCTCATGTTAGATCATTTTAAGAGCAAACTGTTTCTTGATAAAATTAGCTTAATATTAACTATTATTGTTGGCTTAAATTCATCTGGTAAGTTTTTAAAAAAATGGACAGTTTGACATTAGATAATGGGAAGAGTGAGGAGATCCTATCGAGTGAGACGTTATTGGATTTCTTTGCAATTTTTGTTGACTTTGTGTGACTATTCACAGTTTACTTTATTTTATGCAACAATTTGTTATTTTCTAATTTTTGGGTGTTGTGTTCACCATATTAATTTTTTCTTTGTAAGGTGTTTTGTGAGGTATTTAAGATTTTTGAACTATTAATAGTTAGTGCATATGTATATAAACACACATTGAGTTATAATTTTAGAGTAACACTAATATCTGATAATTGTTTTTAGGAAAAATTATTTTTTTGTATTTTTCCTATAAATTTTTCTAGCAAATATGCATTGCTTTGTTGCAACTTTATGCAATCCTGTTCTGTTGAATATTTGTATTCTTACTGCAGGGTTCTCACTGACTTGTTCCATCATAAAAATGAAAAATAGTCAGAAAAAATTAATATTTTTAAAAAATTCACATTTTAAAAAAAGTGAAAATCAAGCTATTCAAATAATTAAATGACATACGGTTTTCAAAAAAATCTTTTTAGAGAAAAAAAAAAAAATTATACTAATTTGTAGAAGAGTTACTGTAATGTTTTCTTCCAGAAAGTATCATAAGATCACCTATTAGTGAGCATCACTCTTCTCTTTAGAAATGTTACTGTTTTACTTACCTTTCTATTCAGAAGTATAATTGTCTTTCATATTTAAGTAGTTCAGTTGTGTGGATATGCATTCAAATAATTTATGTTAACAGTCTAGTGTCATTTTAATCTCTTCAGTTATATTTTGAAATGCCAAAAGAGTAATATTTGTTGAGAATAAATATTTATTTAAATTCAATGATATATAATTCATTTTATTCGTAATGAATATTTATTGATGTTCAGTCATTATGCATATTTCTTCTGTTGAAGAAATATTTTCCCCCAGAGTTTAAAATTTTCCTTTAAAAACTCTGCCTACTTTTTGAATGTTTTAGATGCACTATCGTATCTAAACCCTTCAAAGAAGTTGGTATTTCCTCTATCTACTATATTTGAGAATGAGATTGCCTTGAATGCAAGACATTCCTTATATTTTAGAATAAATTTTAAGAAATAAGAAGTATAGATGAATTGTTATTTTGTCTTGCAATAGTTCTGAGAAAGAATCTTGTTTTATTATCCTTCCTTCGAATTTTTCTAAAATATTATTATTGGTTAGCTGTGGCCAAAAGAAAAATTGTGATGTATTGTAACCTGTTTGTTTTCAGAAATATATGTATACTGGATGCAGGTCTAAATGAAAATCACTCAGCTAAATATGACTAGTATTATGCATATATGGTAATTACCTGTATGGTTTCTTCAGTATTTAAAGAACATAATTTTCTTATGCACTATGATAAGTTCCTTTCTCTCATTCTGCAATTTAGCCGGCCAAAATATCCAATAAAAACCCTACCAGATATCGGATAAAACATGTTTTTAAAATTGGGTGTGTAGGTTATTTTCAAGAAAATGCAGTATTACTCTTATTTCCTTTAAGCAAATGACTAAGACAAATTTCAAATATTTATAATTATCATAGTTATTTCCCTGCTTTTTATACTAAAAGTATGGAATTATTCAGTTATATTTGATATGATGACTAGTTTTCTGTGTTTCGTCTATTAAAATCAAATTTGAATTTTCTATGGGATCCGTGTATGGCAGAGAGAATGTTATCTTTTTTATTAAGTATGGGATTTTCATAATATATTAGAAAAGAAAATGAAAAATATAAATGTATACTGTAATTTTATATATTGTCAGGATTGCAGGGTATTTCTATCACTGAAGAATGTATGAATTCTTCTGTTTATGATATTGAATATTTTTGTAGATCTTAATCATTGTATTTGAGAAGTTTTTCAAATTGTCATATTTCTTATTCATGAAACTTTGTCCATTTGCCGAAGCCTTTTCATATCTATGCAGTCTTAATTTGGAAAAAGAGTGTGCTATTTCTCATTTTAATTTGTGTTTTTTGATTGTTCTGTTATTCCTGTTTGTTTGGTGTTGCTAGTTTTGGGGGAAAAGTGCTTCATTTTAATGCAGTTGAGGAAGATTAGATATAAGGAATCAGTTATCAGTGATGTACTCAAATTTGTTTAAATTTCATTAAAAGTGATTTTCTTATATTGTATTTGCATTCAATAAAAAGTATCTGTGATATTAATGAAACTTAATGTTGGTATTGCTGAGAATAAAATTTTGTTTGTTGCATATTTATTGAATATGTATTGTATGTTGGATATTTGTGCTTTGTAAACTTAAACCAACTTGTTGCTTATTTAGTGATTTTATATACTATTAAGGGTAACTACTAGTAATTTCAACTAGTAATTTTTGTGATATGTATCATGAAAATAAAAATGTTTTTGTTTATTGTAACTGATTCACAAAGAATATAGTGATGGATTTTTTTTATATATTCTCACCTATTGTTAACTCTAATATTTTGTTAATGTTCATTTTTCCAGTTCTTCAATATTTTTTTCATTATTATTTGTACATATTTTTACAGTATTACTTTTTAATTTAGTCTTTTTGAAGTGGCATTTCAGTATGCCTAAAACAGTAATTTTGGTTGCTGAACATTTTATGAACTTGGGTTCCTTAGTTTTCCAGTATTATTCTGGCATTTGAGAAGACTATGCATTAAAAGTTGGTGTGCATGCCTAAGATGTATTTAAGTATGATTGATTTAAAGGGAGAATGTTCTTGGTGCTATGTATACAACTTTAATATATTGCAGTCTCTCCATCCTGTTTTCTTCCTTAAGTGATATATATATATAATCATTGTAACTTTGGTTATAAAACATTTGTGAAATATTCTATTTTCGTTGTTGTTCTTAACCTATTAAAAATTTCACATCTTGGTAACTAGTAATATAAAGTTAAAAATATGTAGTATTAATTTTTTACAATAAAATTTCGAAGAAATTTAAGAGATTTACGAATAATACTTTTTCTTAAGAGTTTTTTTTTTCCTTTCAAAAAAATTGGGTACCCTAAAGCTACGTTATTTTGCATTTTAACATGTTGACTGCCAGTTACAAATAATTTACTGTAAAGCTGCCTGCATCAGCTACAAGATAGCTAACTCGTAGTTGCTGGACTTGGCTTTTTTGTACAGGTGCAACTGCATTCCTAGTATGTAAATATAATTAAAGGTAGTTGGTCTCTCAGAAGAGGGAAGAAAATGCAATTGGCATACGTGGATAATTTATTCATACAATGGAAACCAAATATAAATTAATGGAATATTTTTTATTTTGTGTGATATTTTATAAACCAAGCATACAAATTTGTCATGATTTTCATGATTTGTCATGAGGTACATTTATTTTTCAGTAAATGGAATCCTTCTTTATGAAATATGAAATAGTTTTTCCAAGCTAATTTTCTTTAAATTTGGTAGAATTTGTGCTCTTGGTAGTGTGTTAGAAAAAAACTTTTTTAACTTAAAATTAGTTCTAGAAACAATATGAATATTTTTAATATATTTCTATAAAACATAATATAATCTTTTGGCCATCAAATGATCTTTCTTATAAGTGAAAAGTATAGCAACATTTAATCTGATTGGCCATTGCTAAACATTCTCTTGTAATAATGTTGAATTACATTTATTCTGTGAAAGTCCTAGCCTGAAGTGCGGTGCTGTGAGGCCCCTGTGTCTTTGAAGCTAGGGCTAATTTTTAGAAAGCAAACATTGTTATTACAATCTTAAAAATGCACCTGTTCAGTTGCCTGTGATACTTAAACTGTTTCCTGGTGCAAGAATATGATTCATCCTTGGGGCAGCTGAGTATTTTTAATGTGATATGAGCAGATGTGATTGCTTATCATGATTGAGCCCATATGGGTATGATTGTAAGCCCTGTTCACTGATGTAGATAATCATTGATTTGGTGGACAAGCCTAGTTGGATCCTTTGTTTGCTTTGTGAGGAATGAACAGTGGCATATGCAAGGTTTATTTGCTGCAAGATGAGCGGAGGTGCATTATTCGTGTCATGTTTGAGGTTATCCATGTATCCTGTGCCCATTCACAGAGGAAGGACTAGATGGGATGCCTTCCTTCTACTATGGCTGATGCAGCACTCCCAAGCTTTGGTAGCCAAAGAGGATGTGGCACTTTTGTTTATGTTCAGAGCATGATACTTTTAAAATGGTTTAGTATTATTTCCACATAAATCGAAAAGCAGGGACAGTGCTAAACAAAAGAGACATTCATTGCTCGATGACTAATAGCACTTTGTATAATTTAGTGGCATTTCTGCACAAATCACATTTTGGTTAACTTTCAGTAACTTGTAACAGTGATTTTGTTTCTGAATATTTTATAAAATTCCAAGCTGTTTGACTACAAAAATATAGATTTTAGCAAAATGTTTATGTGTAAAGAATAATAAATACCTTAAAACCTGTAAAGCATCAAAATATCATGAAAATAGAACACGTTAAAGTTCAATTTCCTTATAACTAACTGTTATAAGCGTGAAAATTTTTATACTTGTTCCTTAATATTTTATTTGCTACTTTTATTTTATGTTTCAAATATCAAAATGTTTTAAATAAAATAGATTTTTTGTCATCCGGATAATATTGTAATATGCACTGCGCTCAACATTGTGGATAAACAAATCACTGTTTCTAGCTATTTTTTCTTAGATAAAAAAAAAATGTATAGTTAAAACTACTTACATTAAAAATAAAATTTGGGATTGCATAATCAGTTATTATTTAACATAAAATTAAAGGTGATTTCTAAAATTTTTAGGAAAGAGGCGTAATAATCGCTTATTTTAAACTCATTGTCTTATTTTTATTTAATTGAAAAATAATCACTTTGGATTTTTATATATTAACTGAAAAATGAAATTTCCTGTAATCCTTGTTAAAATTAATAATTATTTTGACAGACAAGCTGTCAAGTTAACTTTATTTCAAATAAATTTGTACACAAATGTGTAAAAACTTATTTGAAATGTGTAAATTTTTACACATTTACACAAATGTGTAAAAAATTATTTGAAAACATCTGGCTATTTGACAGAAGTGCTGTGTGCAGTGAAGTTTGATACGAATGTATAAATGTGCCATATCATCATGACAGTTTATTAAGAATTTGAAAATAAGGTGATTATTCCATCAGAAGGTGTCCTATCACAAATGATCCTCTTATTATCTATCACAAATAATCTCCCACCTTGTTAAATGTTTCTAATGCAAGTCTTTTTCTTCCTGGAAATTTGAGGTCCATGCTCATCTCCTAATGCCCTATGTGTAATACTATCATATACTCAAGTGTATTCATCATGAGAGCTTCCTTTGCTTTTGGATGCACAAATAAGCATTCAAAACAGATTCCAGACATAACATTTCACAGATAAGCATAGATTTAATTTCAGTTTTTAGTATACGACAGATTTATATTAATTATGAAAACGTAGACTAATAAAATGAAATGAAGGTAACTTAATATTTGAAAACTACTTTTGACACTTAACTGACATTAAGAATCACTTTTATTTTTCATACCATAGAATTAAATTATACAATTTTGTATATAATACACATTTAAGCTTTTATTTATTTTAAAGTAAGATTTAAGTAAGAAATAGAGTACTCAAATATTTATTAAGCTGTTTATAAATGTATTTGGAAATGAAGAATTTGTTCATTCATAAACTCCTGTGAAGAAATTTAGTTATTAAACATCTAAAGTCATAATGATTGTAAATATTATCTAAATGTATAATGACCTTAACATTTAATTGTCAACATAAATTGAAATTCTGTGACAAATA